TTTTTCTTTTGCCAGTTTGGAAGTAATGAAATATCATTCTCTTAGTAATTTTCTTTAAATGTTTACACACACAGCTGGCATAGCTGGATGAAAGTAACTATTTAATAAGTGACTCCAAGCTCTGTGTCTTCCTGAAGAGTGGTAGCACGGTGGACCACACTAGCCGCAAGACTTTGACATTTGACTTCCTGACTATTTTCCATGAGTTTCACCTCTTACCTCGCCTCTACCTCAAATTAGTCATTATTGATATTATTATTTTTACTTCTTTAAAATTTTACTTTATTTCCCGCTCTTAAGGGTAATTTAGCTGTATCTGGAATCTTTGTTTGATAATTATTTTTTCCTCACCGCAATATGCTAATTCATGTCACTTAGCTATCAATTGCCACTGACTATTAAAGCTGTTCCTAGTCTGTGACCCCTGTAAGTGATCTGCTTTTTCACTCTGGTTGCTTTCAGCTTAGTCCTTCCCTTTATTGTTCATTTCTTTGCAGTTTCTATGTGATATATTTTGGTTGCAAATTTACTTTCAATAATTGTGCTTAGAACTCACTATTATTTTCTCTAAAGGAAGGAAATTAATATATTAATTAACTAATTAATTACCTAAATGTTTTATTTTAATTTCCTTTTTAATTTCTAGATATTCTAATTTTTTACATTTTTGTGCTTTTTGTATTTCCTTATTTATGTTATATCTTTAATAAAGTACTTTATACTTTGAATTAATTTAAACATACTTAATATTTTGCTCTTTTTGATTTTAAAAGAATATTTTGATTTATTAAAATGCTAATTTTTGAGTTGAGTGGATTTGTTGAACTCCTTTCATGAATATTTGTAGTATAGTTTGTAAATTTTTTTGTGTGATCATCTTCAGTATGTGTTATTGTGTGTTTTTGTTATTATTTTTGTGAGCCTTCAGCATACTCTGACTTGCTAAAGATTTGAATATAGCATATTTGTGTGCATGTTTCTGTTATAGCTGTAAGATTTCTAATCAATTTTCGCCAATATTTTGTTAATTTGTTAGCTTTAAATTTTCATACTATGCAAATAAAATGAATTAAAATCTCAAAGTCAATGTGGAAAATACTTGAGATTTTATATCCTTTCTTGTTAATTGTTTTTTAACCCTAGTGTCTGGATACACTTAACAGTTTTCTGTTTATTTGGTTAGTTGCTGGTTTGTCCTGTTGAACCAAAGAAGTTCTTCAGAAACCTTAACTTTTAATAGAGTTCCCGAAGCCAGCTCCCATTCCTTATATCATACAAGAGAACATAGAATGCCCTTGGATACATCTGAAAGTTGACAGATCCTGTGTTAATATTTAGGGTTTTTTTTTTCCTTTGGCTCTTAAATTATTTTGTTGTTGTTGGCTAAGTATTCATATTTTCTATTTCATTGATCATTTCTATGTATTTTGAACATGTAATATTTTGGATTTTTAAGCTGCCAACAATGTGAAAAATACAGATGGTTAAAATCTGAAAAATACAGATGGTTAAAATCTCATCTACAAAAAGTGTTCTTTCTTTTGCTATAGATGTTTTGTATCTAATTCTTTATTTTCACTTTCTTCTGTTGTATTTCCCACCTCCTGACAAATAGACAAATACTGCTTCTTTTTTATTTGATTATTTATGTAGAATTTTATGTAAAACTCTCATTAAATCCTTTTTCATGTACTAAGTTTCTTCTGTTCTCAGTGTACACCAGTTTTTGAGTTCTGAAATCTCTTCTTGAACAGATATAGCATAAGGGGCCTCATGGAACTTTTAAAATTATCTAGCGTTGATTGTGTAAGGTAAAGAAATAACTAAAATATTTACAGTCTGAATTCCAATTCTAATTAGATTAACTGTAACAATTTTATATGCACTATATTGTTTTATTTCAGAATGAAAACAATTCTTTTTTATAATATGTCTAAGAGTAAATATATTCAGAAGGAGTATATGACATATATGTTTTAGAGGTGGGTAGTAAGGATATTGTTTAATTGTTAGGCAGGATTGTTTAACTGTCATGAATTCTTAAAACTTATTTTAATAATTGGAAGTCGATATAGGCTAAGCATTAGAAATGGCTCAAAACATTTTCAGTGCCTTCTAAATCATTGTGTGTTTTTCTTTAAAGCTGTCCAGCAAGAGACCGTAAAAGTGCAGTAGTTCAAAGAAAGCATTTTTTAACTCATGGTTACTTAAACTGTGATAGGATGATGAGAATATTGTAGCCTTTTGCAATTGCATTGCGAACAAAGTACATTCAACATTTTATAGACAATAAAACAATTGTTATAGCTTATTTTAATTTTTGTTTTTTTTTGTTATTCTAATTATTTATTTTTAGTTAGTGATTTATAAACAGTGTTATTTCTAAAGACTAGACTGCAAATGTAACTTCTTGCAACATGATTTAAAAATTCTATTCTAAAAGACAATTACTTATTAATGATCCCATAGATAAAATTTCTGTAAGAGATCAAGGAGACTTCCAAATGTGTGATTTTAGAATGATAAGTTTAAAGTATGACTACACATAATCAATATGATGATGTTGATAATAGATTCTATACGTTTCCTGTGTTCAAGTTTAAAGTATAACATTGCCATATCTGATACTTAAAACATGACTTTGAGGTACAGTTCAATTTTATAGTTGAGCAAAACTAATAAAAGAACGCTAGAAGTTTTAGTTTTTTTCTTTTTATCTTATATTTATGTGCAACAAAACCAGTCAAGTATTTGTGATGACATTACTCATTTAATACCATCCGGAGACGAAATATCTCTCTCAAGCTTTGTAGAAAAATACGTTCAAATTTGTATAATGTTTTCATTAAGATATCTTTTTTTTTTTTCTGAGTTGAAGTCTCACTCTGTCACCTAGACTGGAGTGCAGTGGCACGCTCCCAGCCACCGCAGCCTCGACCTGCTGTGCTCCGGTGATCCTTCTGCCTCAGCCTTCCAAGTAGTCGGAACTACAGGTGCGCGCTACCACGCCCGGCTAGTTTTTTATTTATTGTAGAGATGAGGATCGCCAAGTTGCCCAGGCGAGTCTGAAACCCATGGGCTCAGGCAGTTCACTCACCTCAGCCTCCCAAAGTGCTGGGATTACAGGCTGAGCTACCGAGCCCGGCGAGATATCTTTTTTTCTTTTTTTTTTCATTTATCAGTATTTTTTATTATGGTTTTGTGGTTTTTGAAACCACTTACAACTTAAGGGAAACTATAATTGATCTATTGCTTACAAAAAGAAATTTTTCTTAGTATGGAGAAACTTGGAACATTTGTGTTGCAAATAGATGTATTTTATGTCTTGACCATTTTATCATGAAATAATATGTCTGTTGATATTTCATCAGCTATATGTGTTAGTATTCTTTGTTTTAGGATTCGTGTTTATATAAAATCTCTTAAGTATATAAAGTATTTGTGGAAATATACTTTATATACTTAAATTATAATTTTTGTCTGTATTTTATTAAATTAATTGATTATCAACATATTTACCTTATTTAAGTTTTTGACTAAGTATGCCTAAGAGTGAACACATACATAAAGCTGAATTTGATTTGTAACCAGCTTGAGCTACCGTAGGTTTAAGATCTAAAACAAATTGGTTCAAATTCACATTTTAGTTCCAGTGGCCAACCTGGGACCTTCCCATGTATTTCTGCATATTCCAAATGTATCTTCTTTTGGTTTTATTTCTTCTCATGTAGCAGAATTTCTTCAATTTGTCATATTTCATTGTTTCTTTTCCCCAATTTTGACAGGTACCCAATCTGAACCCACAGTGCATTTTTTATGCTTGTGCCAACTCCTCCCAGTCCTGCCTCCCCAGATAAATCACAACAAAGTAATACTGACCATAACCAACAATCATTACCAACAGCAGCAACATTCACAATAGCCAGAAGGTGGAAACAGCCAAAATGTCTACTGACTAGTAAATAAATAAAGTGTGGTGCATCTCCATGATGGAATATATTCAGCTAATAAAGGATTGACCTTGTGATGCATGCTGCAATGTGATTGAGCCTTAGAAACATTGTGCCAAGTGTAAGAAGTCAGTCATAAAATACCACAGATGGCTTTAGTCAGTTTACAAATATCCAGAATAGACAAGTCTATAGAGACAGAAAATATATTGGTGGTTACCTAGTATTTGTCAGTGAGAAGGAGGAGTAGGAAGTGATAACTAAAGGGTATATTTGGGTTTTTTTGGTGGTGAAAATATCTTAAATTGATTATGATGATGGTTTCCTATTTTTAATATATTGAAAACCATTGACTGCAAACTTTGTGTGAATTGTGTAGTATGTGAATTACATATCAGTAAAGTTGTTATACAAAATCATCAGCATTTCATATGCCTTTGTGTTGACAGCCACCATGCAAGTTTGTTCGAGGAAATGGTGGTTCAAAAATTATGCACAAACAATCTAAAAATGAAAATGCATCATTTTAGTTCTTATGATGATGCACTCAATCAGCTCTCAAAGACAGCGTGAGACTTTTTAGACTTATTAAACACTCGTTAATGTCCTCTGACTTTTTTATTTTTGTTTCATCCCTTTTCTCCACCCACTAGAATCTATCTAGGAAAAGTAGAAGTATAGATTATAGTTTACAATATCATAAAATAATACAGTAATACACTCTAACTTTGCTTCTCTGCCTTTACTACTTATAAGGTAATAGCAACTACTGAGAGTTTGGGTCTTCAAGTTTCTGTTTTGATTACACAGCAGCTGATCCTAGGATGTGTGTATTTTGACTTTCAAAAACAGTGTATAAGACTAAACTACAGCTGTCTGTTAACTCTGAGTTGTGTGGGTAGAAGCAGAAGTATCTCTTAATAGAAGAAAAAGATGAAGAATTAAACACTATGGAAATCACTTGATCCAGTTGCATTTGATGGAATTAAATACTTGCATTAAAAAAACATATTTTAATGTTTTCTGTATAATATTTTCTTTTCGCTTTAGATCCAGCAAAAGATCCATGCTTAAAGATGAAATGTAGTCGCCATAAAGTATGCATTGCTCAAGATTCTCAGACTGCAGTCTGCATTAGTCACCGGAGGCTTACACACAGGTAAACACTGTTAAATTGAATCCCACTGATTGAACAGTACTCCTTACCAGGAATAATTGCAGAGTATAAATATTTGGCAATGCCTGCTAATCTTTTATGCAGAGTTTTATTGAAACAGTTTCAGAAGCTTGGCTAATACAATTGTGATTCACTTGGGTTAAACATGGTTATCAATCAGAATGACTGTGGATTATAGAATTTTAGGAATATATTATTAAATAAAGCAGATCTTGTAAAGATGAGATTAAGATGTTATATCTGGGTATTTGTATATTTTCAAGTTTAAGAAGCAGTTACAATTTTTATACCTTCTAGCATATTTTTGTTTATGGCTACTCAAATATCTCTATTTGCCTCAAGAGAAAGTTAGAAAGTTAGAAATAAAGGGGGAAAAGTGCTTGACTGATGCTCATTAAGAGAGAATAAAAGAAAACAATTAGAGATTGGAGACTGGAACCCTTCAGGACATCATCTTTAGGAAGGACTCCGCCAGTGAGATATGGGCATCTTTTCCCTGGAGGAAGACACACAATTCCTAGAGAGGAGGTAGGGGTTTCAGATATCTTTTATACCAGTCATCACCGCTTCTGTAAGGCAGACTCTGTTTTGGAAAGGATCAGCCATGTAGAACTGACCTGTGTAGCTTGGTGCTGAGTCTCAAGGATTAGAGTGAGCCATATTCAAAAGGGAGCTAGCTCATTGGTTACTGACTAAAGTAAGCAGTGTGTTCATATCCTTTCCTACTTTTAAAGTTATTTTATTTGGAAAAATACTCTTTTCTGTGATAGTGTACCTAATTCATGTATTGCTGTTAAATCAAATGAACAAATAAATGTTGCTTTTTGAAAATGCTCAGAGAATAATTGAATTTTTGGTTTCCTGTACTTGTACATAAATTCAATTATTCACATACACCAACAGACAGAATAAGAATATTAGAAAATAAGAACATAAGTAGCATTTCTAGAAAACAACCATACTGAGATTACGTTGATATTCTTTGTTAATGTAAAAGCACATGTAGACCATACCTTCTTTTACATGCTGAATGGATTAGGGGAAATCTGTACTCCATGATGGTAAATCTGTAGTGGCAGACTTCTAGAACCAAGGCAGATTGATGCAACAGAGGTGGAGGGTTTGGAAATATATTATTTTGTGACAAAGAATCATGGCATATCATTAGCATACTTGTGAAAGTAGGAGAAACAGGGAGAGGGAGAAAAGAAGCAATAGTTGGAGGATGTAGAGAACAAAAGACTTCTTGGGAATACCAGTTCTACAAAGTCCATGTACAATAGGAAAGCACAAGAGGATGAAGCAGTTCTCAGGAATGTATCCCAGCCAGTCTTGGCTTCCATGTTTGTTGTATATGTGATAACAAAACATTGGGCCAGAAACTCACTTTTCTATTTGTTTCCTTAGGATTCCAAATTTCTTGGAATTTCCATTAAGTAATCATAAAATTAAAAAAAAATTGGTACATGAATGTGGAAATGTTGGGGATGAGCATTTTTTTGCTTGAAAAATCAACAAAAATGGTATTGAAAGGAATTCCCTTATGATCCCTTGCCTATTACAGAGATTGTCAATTCATTTGTTATAAAAGCGAAAACTATTTTATGACAAGTTTCAGAGACCCTAAGAAAGATTTCCATGGACACATATTTTACACCTTTGTAAAGTTCATCTGCCATTTCACCCTGGCGTTCTGAAGCCAAGTCACAAGGCAACCGGAGAACTCACAGTTAATGTCACGTCTGTGGTAGAGACATGCTTGCTTTGACTTTTCTGGGTATTGAAGCTGGGAGAAATTAAAGTAACTGACTCAACATCACAAAGCTAGAAATTTTCAGTGTATCAATTCTAGTCTATGTTTACATATCCCAGAGTTTATGCTTTGTACAACCCTGCTGTCTTACTGATTCTCTGACTTGTTATTACACAAATACTTAACTATGGTCACAAAAAATACCTTCCTTAACATGATAAAGTCTATCAGAAATCATTAGCTGATGTCACTTAGAATATGTGGTTGAAGCATCCTGAAGAGAACACCGCTGATCGTTTTGTCGACGGTGTGGTGATCGAGGGGATTGTAGGGGAGACTGTGCTGTAATGGGTAGATTTCAAAATATTTTATGTAAGTCATATTTAGTCCTATTCTGTTTCTGATGGAGACTGTTTACCAATTTACACTCAGTCTGTGTTCTATTTGGTAAATAAATTACTAGTTTCCAACAAATTGATTTTTTTTAAAACCAGTCAAATTTGGCAGTGGACGGTTGTATACCAACTTTAGTGACACTAATGTTAATAAGTTCTGATAACCCACTACCAACAAATTGATTTTAAGATTAATATTTGATACATGTTGTTTGCTTTGAGGATGTCAGTACATAGTGAATGTTTACACAACACTAAGGGAAGAAGTGCTTTGCCAAGCAGTTCTGGTCAATAAAGATGGGTAATATAAATAGTCTAGATCCTAGATTTGAGGCTTGTGTGTGCATTTTGGGGGTGGGATAGAGAGCATAGACAAACGGGACTTAATTAATTTGGGCCATATACTTAGTTTAGCTTTTTAAAGGAACAATTTACTTTTTCTTCCCTTGAATTGAGAAGGGTATTAGAGTCAACAAATATTTTAACATAAATGAATTTTAAAGATGAATGAGTGCATGACTTATAGAATTAAAAAAAAATAAAGATTAAAATATAAAATGAGGGTTAGTCTATAGCAATTGATTTCCAGAAACTGATAGCCCCTGAATTTGTAAATAATAATTAAGTTTCTTCTACCGTAATGCTTTAAACAACAATAATTGTCTTCTGAAATTAGGAAAATAGCATGATTAGGTGACCGATGGTGTGTTTTCCACTGGCTCTGACCACCACTGCCAATGGAGAGGATAGTGTAAACCACTCAAATATGTAGTAGTCAAAAGTCATGTATTTAGATAGGTTTCCTGATGACTTTTTCTTTGGAAAATGGGCCTCAAACTGGCAATGTTATCTGTATTTTTGTGTTACTTTGTGTTATCATTATCATTACCAGTTAAAACCCAATAGTTTTGTGAACAATGAGAAAGAACTTTAATTGTAACATGTTTTCCACTGTGGTAACATAGCCAATTATTTAGATAGTCTAATACAAAATCTATGATGGGGTTCCCAAGCTTTGAATATGATCCACTCTGCATATTGTTACCCTGGGAAAAGGATCAGCAAAAGCTGATAGTGAAGGGTCTTTCTTTCATTGTCTTTGAACGTTGTGAGCAAGAATCCCAGTGTCCCATGCTTCCTGGCTGCCTGTGCAGCTGTGGACAATTAACACTATTTCTAGATCAGTGTTACTGGCACCAGTCAATGCTGCTGATATTAAAGGAAACAAGATTTGGCATAATAAGACAGAGTAAGGTTGGAGATGTTGCTGTAAGACAAAACTAGTCATTTTAATTTCTGCTTCATTTGTATCAAAGGAAAAAAATGAAAATACTTTTGGTCTCTTAAGAAGGCATTATGTAGAAAATGATGAAACTAATTTTAAGTGCTACTTATCAAAACTAGTTATCTAAATAAGCAAGTCCTAAAACTCCTCTATTTTAATTACGCAGTCTTGTGGTTAATGGTTTATAATGACGGTATTTAAAAGAAGTCCCAAGGAGGATTCCAAGATGATGGCAGAGGTGGTTGGAGTGCATAAATCTCTGCATAAATGAATAGGTGAAGAGATCAGTATTCACCCTAGGGTGTCAGCAAAAGTTGTGTGAATGTCTGATTGAGAGGAGACGTGGAAAGGATAGAACCGAGATCTCCTCCATAGGCAGCCACCTTGCACAGCTGCTCGGACCTCAGTGTGCTCTCTGGCCCAGAGGCAGGCACCATCTCTACAGCACCACCCGAAAAAGAGGAAAAAAAGGATTAAAACAGTGAAAATCACTTGCAACAGGTGCCGCCTGCTGCTGTAGCCTTCATCCCAGGTCAGACACCAGCAACAGGAACAGTGAGAAAATATACCAGAGTAACCCAGTCAGAGTCCCAGCCAAGGAGACCCAGACACCCCATGCCCCAACTGAAGCATTTTTGGTCTGCCATGGTAGCCCTGTGGAAGAACCTAGCTCTGGATCATAGCAAAATGGCAGTGAGTTTTAAAATGACCCAGCACCCTTTTTTCCGGTGATCTGCTACACATGTGATTCAGATGGGCAACTTTGTGAGCAAAACATGGAAAGACCTGAACATAAGTGGATCAGCTGGGGACAGTCTGCAGCCTTCCCCCAACTCCATGGGGTAAACGGGGGTGTTAGATTTGAAACACTTGTGTTTTACACTGCAACCTAAGAACCCAGTCTCCCCTCACAGAGGATGAGTAGGGGTGAGTTTTAAAGTGATCCTATACCTTTTCCCCACTGATTTGTGAGATGTGTGACTCAAGTTGGCAAACATTAGGATCAGCACATGTGGGAAGGGCTAAACATATGCGGATCATCAGGGAATACCTTCCAGCCTCTCCACAACCACAAGGGGTTAACAGGGGGACAAATTTAAAAGTTGGCGGCTCTTCCCTTCCAAAAACCCTTCCCTCTGCCACCAGCTAAGAAAAGCAGTGCTTGGGTCACTCCTACAAGAAACCTGAAGTCTTCAAACTACCAAAAGAAGGTGCTCAAGAATTATATAAGTTTCTGTTGTTGTTGTTTGGGTTTTTATTTCTTTGTTTTTTTTTTATCTACATAACTCTACATATTTTTTTAAAATATAGCTTGTCAGTAGTGGGCATTTAGTTCTGTTTTATCCCTTCTCCTTCTTCTTTCTGTCCAATAAGGCTATATATGAGTGTGAAAATTTCCTCATATTATTGGTTTTAGTTTACTTGGGATTTTTGTTTGTTTGTTTATGCGCTGTATTTTTTTCTTCTTTCTTTCTTTTCTTGTTTTTTTTTTTTTTTTACATTTTGTTTTGGCTACTCCTTTGGTTTGGTTTTCTCTCCCTCTTTCTTT